TAGTACAATGTTCTAAATACATGAAATACAAAGAAATAATCTGTGACTAAATTTCACAGTGGCAATATGCTTTGCATTTGAATTCTGTAAGAATTGCATTAGCAGCTCGTCAGACGTTATTTAGTGAATATTTTTATTGAAATCATATACCATTGCTAAGATTGCATTTCAATAAATAAAATGAAGGTAATTATACTCCATCAGAGAATAGAAAACAATCGGATTATTAGATATTATTTAGATTTTAAATCATGCTATCAAATAATTCCACTAATTATTCATTTATTTGGAGCATCACTATACGAATGTAATATAGAAAGCGTCAATCTGAATCACGACAACACAATTAATGGGTTCATTATTGTTTCAGATCGTCTGTTCTTTTCATTACTAAATATAAATAAAACTCTCGAACTTATTGAAATTTTCAATTTGAAAAATGACTCGCATCACAAATATGCTTAAAATTGAAATTGACTGATTCTGAAATCGATAATTTAACTGATCTTCAGTCTGTATGAGCTAAAATCAGGTGAGGCTGAGCCTACAGAAGCCAAAAACAAGTGAGGCTCAAGCCTCACTGGGCCTACAGGCTCCGCCGCCACTGGATATAATATTAAGTGATCCACCTGATGAAGTCCCGCCATGGACAGAAACAACGTTGTCGTGGAACGGCGAACTCTTCTAATTCACACCCACACCCACACCCACCCACACCCACCCACACCCGCACCCAGCCACACCCACAGCCACACCCCCACACCCACACCCACACCCCAAAATATTTTAACAAGGGAATCGGCTGACAGGAAAAATCATCTAGTAATGTTTACTTATGCTAAAATTAATCGGTAAAAGCCTGATGAAATAAAATAGAAGAGTGTGGGTGTGGGTGTGGGACTAGTTCGTCACTTATGTCATAGCCATACTCACAGCCACACCCTCTAGTATATATGTCACCGTTGTATATAAGAAAAACGAAATAAATCTATGATACATGACTCAAAAGAAGAGAAACAAAAAGGATAATTTATCAAAATTCAAAAACTACTATCTTCATCAATCGGTACAATTTGTGATCGACATTAATTGATGACATCTTTGTACGTGGAATTTGAGGTTATATTTAACTTTTATTCGAGAATTTCTTGTTGTGTGTTGACACGGAAAAATATTTACTAGACTAATTGATTTTTATAAAAACATATTTATAATCTATGAAATAATTGAAAAACGTGTCATTCTTTGTTTCTTTTAGTTGATCCATCTAATTCATAGAAACTAGTGGCATGAATGTAAATCATCTTAAAACTAAATACTTTTTCGTCAATAAATAGAATTTCTCATAGTCTTCTTTTTGAAATAAATTAAGTGTTCAACTTATTTAAAAAAAAACCTTTTCATCTGGTATTTAATGGCCATATAAAGAGTTGTTAGAATTAGCTGATTTTGATTTTTTATATCAGATATAAAACGAGAAACTTTAAATAAGAAACAAATTTTACGAGTATCAATATACTTCCGAGTTGGCAGAACATCAGTGTCGTGTCCATATACTTCAACCTCAAAAGATGAATATATCGCTGATTTATCCCGACTATCCGTGGCTCAAACGTTTCTACTTCTTATTCAAAAAGATATTATATTATTATATGTTGAAGGTGTATAATACCTATTGAATTTTATTTTCGTTCTGTTATATAAAAATATACTTTGGCTAATATCAATAACTTATTTCAACGTACATATAGAAATCGATAGTTGTAGTTGTATGTGGTAAGCTATAAGCAATTAGAAAATAAGAAATTTCGGGAAAAGAATGTCGGACTTTCAAACCTAAATTCCAATATGTTTTCATGAGTTTTCAGCACTTGTACCAGATATTCCTAGAGACATTCAATGACTGAATTTTTATCTAAAATTTTTTAAGTAGGCAAATAATCAACTGATTAATACATAACCAACATAGAAACAGTGGATCAATTCTTAGTGTGAGAATGCTAATAGAATACAGTATAGTCTCTAAAAGAAGAAGAATAAGGGCCGTTTAATACCAGCGTTGATTGAGTATATTCATTAAATTTTAGAATTATTTCTTTATTTTATAATCTTTGCTGATGAAGCTTTTTCAACAAAAAGAAAATACTCAAAAACTAAAACTAAATCCTAAGATTCATTAACCACGTATGACATGTGCAACTTTTTAGTTTCAGGTTTCAGTGAAGTATCACTACGTTTACTACAGTAGATAATTATAATAGAGGCTTTCCATAAATTATTCTGAAAAGAAAATATGTCTTTACAGTTTATTGGAATTATAACATACTTCAAATTTCCAAACAGAAAACTAAATGTTATTTCAAAGGACATGGTGAAAAGTGCATCAACTTATAACTTTTCAAACTGATATAAAATATATTATAAATTAAAGATACAAAAGAATAACATGAAATCACAAATAAAATTGAATTAATTGTTGAATGGTTTAAACATGAAATGATTAATAAGATACATCTTAACATAGGTTCATATCAACTCGATAGACTGATGTTTTGAGGACTATCTGCCAACATTTATATGAAATAATCAAACTCAGATAGATTTTCTTTTGAAGATCAGTATTTTTTCATTTAAATCTTCATAAATACTTCTAATTCCTTTTTAATAAAGAGTTGAAGGACCACTTACTTTTCAATCATGTACTTTAAAATACTATTGTTTATCTATTTAATTTATCAATAAATAGAAATTGTAACCATTCATAGAAATATGAAAATTACTTCAAGGACTTTTATTTTTATCAATTCAATTCAAAATTTTAATTTTAATTTCTTGATGAATCAAAGTTTTGAAGAAATTCATTACTAGTAATAATATCCATTGTCCTTAGTGTTTTACTAGTTCGAATACGACCACAAAATATTTCTGTTTACATTCGGTGCATATATATTATCCTTGATGACTATTATGATCACTAGTACTATCATATGATTCATCAGTATGACAAACTGTTGCCTCTTTATTCTTTTTCAAATTTAGAACATTGTCATATGTGATCCATATGTTCATCTTTTGACAAATCAAATGATAATCTTATTTTATCACGCATGGAATAATAATAGATTATCTAATAATCTTAATGGTCATCATGGACATCACTAATGTCTCGTTGCATGCTTTTAACTTCAATAGCTTTTACTTTCTATTTAGAGAACTCTTGACAGTAGTTACCATGAACACAGGTACAGATGTAAATGATTCTGTTGATTATTGAGATACAGCTAGATCCTTAAAATTTACTGAAAGATTGGTGATTAATCGCCATTTATTTATCAATCATTATAAATGTTAACCATGCTGTAATCCATGATCTAGCCTAAAAACATTGTAATCTGTCACTGGTTTTACTTTATTTTAACTGACTAAGCATATTTCTTTTTTTATTCATTTATATTTCAAAAAATAGCATTAACTAATATTTTTTACTTGAATGTTAAACACATAAAATCTATAAGAAAAAAAAACAGAAGACGAAGCAACACTAATTTTTATATAAATTAATAAGGGTGTGGGTGTGGAGAGCATGGCTTGAACACCGATGCATCCATACCTTACATACCGACACCGACACCGACACCGACACTGACACTCACCTCCACCCCCATACCTACACACCCCACACCAACATCCACACCCACACCCTTAACAAACTCTTCACTATAACATTATAATAAAAATTTTCTCACTACTTTCCTCCTACACGAATTTCGATCTTTTTATATTTCGACATTTTATGTTTTCGACAAAATTCAGGTTAACCGTGCAGAAGCAACATTTCTGTCCAGTTTATGCATCCAGTTTCAAATTAGAGAAACCTATTCTTCGAAAATGATTGATAGTTATAACCACAGTTATAACCATTTTAAGTTTTTGTCGCTTTTATCAACTTTTAACATTTCAGAAAACAGTTTTAACTCCAACAGTGGACGAAATACTGAATCAGTGATCTTTCCGTGGTATCAAGCATGTTCATCCATTGAGAATATGCTTTCTATTCAGTGGCAAATAAGAATAGATATTCGAGTCTGTATAAAGTGTCTTGTTTCAACACATGCAGCAAACTTTTATGGCAAATTCTGACTTGAGAAAATAGTCTATCAATAATTAGAATTATTTTCTATTGTAGTTTTATTCGTGCATTTTCACAGCAAATAAAGAAGTCACTGGAAACCTCATGTTAAACAAGAGAGCTTTGCGGCTAAAGTGTTTCTATGAATATGTAATCTATTGTAGAGAGAATGTTATCTTAAGTGTGTTTATATGCATATTATTCAAATATTGAACCGATTTATAAATAATAATATTGTGAAACTCACCATATACGAAGTTCAAAGATTAAAAATTAACGATATCTCACCTGGTATATGTAAATTTTTATTTCATCAAACTTTGTGTTCAACTTGAGATTGCACTTCGACAATCAAGCCTATATTTCAGTCAACAATTTCTCTAATATAAACGAAGGAAAAACGATCCATCCGCATCAATCTAGATTTCAAAGTTATTTTGAACTACATCGACAGTGACTTAATATTCCACATCTCCTAAAATATAACGCAGTGCAATCAAAGAGTATTGGTGAATCGCACTTTTGAACAAAACCATTACTAACAAGAAAAACTTATTGAAACTTCATTTCAAACAAGAACCTAGTAATACTTGATGAAAGATGAAATTCGAGGCTATGAACCTTCCTTCAGACTGAAATCTGAAGCTGATGTCAATGATATTTATCATATAAAGTACCAAAAGATGCATAGGATGGTGTTCGATCAATTCCAAGAAACCTCATGTCTTATTCTTACTAAAGAAGAAATTTCATGACATGTGAGCTTACGTTTGCTAAATTGCGAATTGTTTTCTATCTGTCCATGATCACTCAGCTCTTTGTTGACAAAAATCTTAACGAAGTGTTCGATGTCGGTAGTTTTTATTAACTAATGTCGTTATGTGCTATGCGATTTCATGTTACTACATGGGAACTAAATTGTTTGTAAAAGCAAAAGTTTATAAGACGCTTTCAAAAACTGTACTAAATGATAAGACTATTTTGGTTAATGAAAAACAGAAATAACAAGAGCAGACGTTACATAAACTTGCTATTGAAATCTTGTGATGGAATTTCTTCATGGATTGGGCTCGACCTCAAAAGAATGAGGAAAATTTCATAAAATAAGAGCAACACAATCCCTTGCATCTTTCTATGTGCTGTTCGAAGTAATGAATAAATGGAAATGTGATCTTCCGATTTGTTAATAGCGATTTTTATCTTTTTTTTACTATATCAATATGAGGCATGGAATATGTGAAATAGTTAAAAAGAAAAGGAGTATCAATAACATCGCTATAGATGCAACCATTGAAGAATAAATCAATCAAGTGATAACGAGATTCCACGGTATCTTATTTGAAATTTTCTTTTCTACACGTTAGAAATCTAGAAGAATATTTTATGAATAGAATACCAAGAACACGAGTATATCTACAAGTAGTTCTCGTACTTTTCCAATGCACAGTTTCAGTAATTGTTAGGAACTAAGAAATGAGGGTTTCAAAGAAATGAAAGATACTATTTTCTGAAGACTAAAGTATTCCAAGAAAACTACAGCAATATATTTTTCCTATCGAGATCCTGATAACAATTCAATATATTTACTCTCTTGATAAATTATGGATCATAGATTCTAGATGGTTACATGCACACTTTTTTAAAAAAGTACAAAAAAACTTCAGTTAGATGTACATATGTCTTCGCTCTCATCTTCATAGAGTTTTTTGTCTAAATTCTCTTAATGCATTGAAAACAAAATTTGGAATAAGATACCACGTAATTGTTTATCAGTTGTCCTATTGATTCTTCAATGTTTGTTGTGATACTATTGATACTCCTTTTCTTCTTAACTATTTCACATATTCAGTTCTTCACATTAACGTGGTAAAAAGATAACATTGATTATAAAAACATCCTAAGATTACTTTTCCTTCTGTTATTTGTTTTGAAAGGTACAAAGAAACATGCAAGCACTCCTGTTTCTATCTTTCTATACGTTTCTACTGACTATTGTCGCATCTAATACAATTAACGAAGAATTCCAAATACAAGCTTTTAATAGGAAACTCTGGTAATATATCTTTTTCATATTTTTGCGTTTCTTTTTCCTAACGAGGCTATATTAATATCTCAACAGAACAATGAAAAAGTCTCTGAAGGATTTCCCTTACAGACTATGTGCCTGCATACAACTGAATTTCAATACTGAGAAATAGGAATTATATATTTGCTGACGGATAATATTCTTTCACTTTACCACTATAAAGCTCTATAGGAAAGAAATATTAGAACATTACCAACTTAAGCTGAGGTTCATGAATTTATAAGGTTTTAAATTAATGAGAAAATTCAATTGTGGTAATAAACGAATTTTCGTTAATATTATGCAAAACTATAGGATGTATTGCAAAAGAAAGTATCTCCTACTATTAGTTGTTAGTAGATCGATGTTTAAAGTTACTTTAGTAGAAAAATGATTACAAGTGGATGATGTAAATAATAGACTTCCAGCTAATGAACAAAAATTGAATAGATACATCTAAATTTATCTTTATTATTCTAAGTCTTTCTTTTCAAGGCCAAAGGGTCGTACATATACATGGAAGTTAGAACACGATCAATCTCTATATGATTCAAAGAAAACTCGTCAGAACATTCAACAAGCATTCGACTATTGGGCTCATTATACTGAATCAACTTTTCGTGAAGTGGCTCAAGATGAAAAAGCTGATTTTAATTTTGCTTTCGTATCTGGTGATCATTCAGATGGAGCTTCATTGAATCGACATGGGAGAAAAGTATTTCACACTTTTTCTACCGAAGATCCTTATACAGTACATATTTATTTTGATGCAAATGAAAATTGGTCAAATGCGTAAATAAATTATTATGGTTTTTTTATTCATCTATTTCTCGCATATTAAGATATGATGCTATTGGGAACAACCTATTTTTAGTGATTGCACATGAAATTGCACTTATTTTTGGTCTTCTACATTCAAATGATGATAAATCAATTATGCCTCCATTTTATCAAGCGATTCATCCAAATGAAGTATTGCCTATACAGGTTTGCTTACTGATTGTTTTTTCTTATTTCGTTTCTTCTCATGCAGACAAACACCTGTAACAACGTTCTTAATGAGCATTTAAGCTTTAATGAAAATAATTTCATAAAAACTGCATTTTTTTCTCATTTGTTTTCATTTACATAAATTAAAACGTTAATCATTAGACTTCTTAAAAAATATTGAACATGTTCTGTTTCGTCTCTAATTGAACTTATAATACTTTTTAAAATATTTAGAGACATTTGTTCAGCAATATATAATTAATTCTCTTAATTAGTAACTGTCATGGCCTAGATTCAATCATGCTACGTATTTCACAATAGTCAAGCATACTATCTGTTCAAGTATCCATATGCTCACAAGTTATAGTGAGAAATGCAACTCATTTTCTTGAATGAATAAAGGACAAAGATCATTATTAGCCTCCTTAGTTTCATAAAGAAAACCGAAATAATATTTTTCTAAAAAAAGATTCTTTGTTTAGAAAAATAATGCGCTTTTTCAGAAATCTATTGAAAGAACGGGGCCGCATAAGAGGCCAAATCGGCCCATTAGGAATTGTTCGGGATAACCCTATTAAATCATACATCATTTCAAAGAGCAAGTTAAAATGAACATTTTGATGCTATTTTCATGGGGTTTCGATCGAATTTTTGAAGCGAAAAGCTATTTACAAAGTTGCTCATTTTTGGGCACTAATCTAATAATCGATCATATCCATGGTCGACCCAGTTTTGGTATAAGTTGATATGGAAAAATGGTTGTGAAATCAAGTATTTGATAGCTTCTTGATGGGGCTTTAGTTCTATATAAGAATTAATAGTTTCTTGTTCGATTCAGTCAGAACAAGATCTGACATATTATTAGACACTGTTTACATATGGCTCATATTGATCACTAACTTTTATCTTTCAACGAATATTTTATCGAAAAAATTAAAGGTACCAAAATTCTGGTATA